AGTAGCCCTTTTTCCAGGCCTTTAGTTCATAGGAAACGCTTAAAACAAAAACTTTAAAATTGGTGGAAAAAAAAATAAACGAATGAATGGCTGTGTCTCGTGGGCAAAATTATCTTTGATGAAGGACAGTCTGTGGGAAGATGCATCTTAGGTCCCTGGTGTTACTGGCTTCATTTAAAAGCAGATCCAGGACCTGGTAGCAGGTACATTCAGTGTGTTTTAGAAAATCAAGTAAGATGCAGGTCTTCTTATAAGGGGCCACTCTCATACTGACTGTTTCTTAATATTATGGTGCTTTCGTATATCCAACAATAAAATTGAATATCAACTTTTTAAGCTCATAGGTTTTATACAATTATCAAATCAGACAAAAATGCAAAAATATATAAAATCAATAAAATTCTAATTAATACATTAGTGTGAGAAATGATTCTTCACTGAAACTAAAGGGTTAGTGTGGGCTTATTAAAAGAAAGCTATGGATGTGTATAGTTGAATAACTGACTTGATTAAAGTTATTTGAAGCTTGATGTACTGTTGTCTGAGTTACTGTGAGTAATGATTACAAGGATTTTTTTCTTCACTTCTCCTATTCAGAAATATTCATGTTAGTCACCATTATACAATTTTATTATTTAATGAAGCACCCAAGAATTCATCACTAAAAAAAAAATATGTTTTGCATTTACTGCTACTTTTATGTCTATTGAATTGCATATTGATACATACAAACAATGAATGTTTGCAATACATCCTCTTTCATTGCAGGTTCTTGGGAGTGTGGCCTATCTGTAGTACCATGTGCTATATCTGTAGTACTATGTGCTGTGTGCTGTATCATAACCAAAATTTTCTGAAAACTTTTCACCATTTAGGCAGCTGCAATGTCTTCATTTGTAAAGTATTATTATCCCACTGGCCCTTAATTTGGTAAAAAGGACATAAATCGTCAAAATCAAGGGGACTATTCTATTGGTTATCTAGATGATTACAAATACACCTTTTTATTTTATTTTGTCCTAATCACACAGAAAATTGCAAATCTAAAAATTCTCATTTAATTTCTATGCCTGAGGGATTAGTTAACTTTTCTCTATAAAAGGGCAAATAGTATATATTTTAGGCTTTGAAATCATACACTCTCTTTTGCAAGTACTAAACTCTGCTGTTATAGCAAGGAAGCCATCATATGCAGAGTGTAAATAGATGGGCATGGCTGTTTTGCAATAAAACTTTACAAAAACGGGTGGCAGCTTGTTTTGAATGCTGAACCATAGTTTTCTGACCCTGATTAAACACCCACGATTTGTTCATACAATTCCAAATATCCATGGATTGCAGTTTGAAAAACTCAGTTCTATTTTCTTGTTGTTCTTCAACTACAACACTATTATAGCTCTTTAAGGAGGCTTAAAATAAAGGTGGCATATTAAATAAATTAATAGGAAGAAGAGGGAAATCGATTATCTTAGTGCTTAAGATACTTTGGTATGATGGATTCAAGGCTGAGCACCACAGATAATGGTCCCTGCCCTTAAGGAGCACATAGAATAGCAATACAGGCAGTAACACCTTAAAAACCCTAGAATAAAATCTAGGCAAAACCATTCAGGACATAGGAGTAGGCAAGGACTTCATGAACAAAACACCAAAAGCATTGGCAACAAAAGCCAAAATAGACAAATGGGACCTAATCAAACTCCACAGCTTATGCATGGAAAAAGAAACAGTCATTAGAGTGAATCGACAACCAACAGAATGGGAAAAAATTTTTGCAGTGTACCCATCTGACAAAGGTCTAATATCCAGAATTTGCAAAGAGCTAAAACAGATTTACCGGAAAAAAACAAGCCCATTCAAAAGTGGACAAAGGATATGAACAGACACTTTACAAAAGAATACATGAGGCCAACAAACATATGAAAAAATGCTCATCATCACTGGTCATTAGAGAAATGCAAATCAAAACTACATTGAGATACCATCTCATGCCAGTTAGAATGGTGATCCTTAAAAAATCTGAAGACAACAGATGCTGGAAAGGATGTGGAGAAATAGGAACACTTTTACACTGTTGGTGGGAGTGTAAATTAGTTCAACCATTGTGGAAGACAGTGTGGCGAGTCCTCAAGGCCTTAGAAATAGAAATTCCATTTGACCCAGCAATCCCATTAGTGGGTATATATCCAAAGGATTATAAATTGTTCTACTATAAGGACACATGCACACGAATGTTCATTGCAGCACTGTTTACAATAGCAAAGTCCTGGAACCAACCCAAATGCCCATCGATGATAGACTGGACAGGGAAAATGTGGCACATATACACCGTGGAATATTATGCACCCATCAATAACGATGAGTTCGTGTCCTTTGTAGGGACATGGATGAACCTGGAAACCATCATTCTCAGCAAACTGACACAAGAACAGAAAATCAAACATCGCATGTTCTCACTCATAGGCGGGTGTTGAACAATGAGAACACATGGACACAGGGAGGGGAGCACTATACACTGGGGTCTGTTGGGGGAAATAGGGGAGGGACAGCGGGGGGTGGGGAGTTGGGGAGAGATACCATGGGGAGAAATGCCAGATATAGGTGATGGGGAGGAAGGCAGCAAATCACACTGTCATGTGTGTACCTATGCAACTGTCTTGCATGTTCTTCACATGTACCTCAAAACCTAAAATGCAAAAAAGAAAAAGAAAAAGAAAGAAAAGAAAAGAAATCCAAAAAAAATAAAGAAATAAAAGGAGAAGTTGCACACTTAAAAAGGCAGAGATCCGAGATTCTAAGAGAGCATATTGAGATTTCTTCTGTTACTGACTCTTGAGCAGATGTACAAGAAGAAATAGGAATTCACTAGGTTTTACTCTCAAGGGAAGAAAAAAGAATTTTTTAAAAAGTAAGAAAGTACCCTAAAATCACTTTGAGGGGGTTATATAAGACAAACAAAGGGCTTTCAAGAAACGTAGATAGGACGAGTATTGAAGAAAAAATAAATTAGGAGCATATTGTGAAAAGAGACTGGAGAAGCCTTAAGAGCCTAAATTATGCAAGGTTTTGTAAATCACATGAAGCCGTTTTTTTCTACTCTAAGAACAAATGAGGACCCGGAAGGTTGACAGGATCAAGTTTGCACTCAAAAAAGGTCACCCTCACCATGTACAAAGGACTATACTGAGAAGTGATGGGGTCTGTCAAGTGTGCTGGGGGCAGAGGAGCAAGGGATTAGGGAGGATTTTAAATTAGGGTATGGAGGTCAATTAGGTTATAGAGGTTGTGATGTCTTCTGCAAAACCTAATAGGTGGTACACTCAATAGAACTTGGAAATACATTGGATGTGGTCATTCAAAAATAACTATGGACCAAAACTATCGTATGAGTTCTAATATGCCCTAAACTGAGGGTCTGGCAGAAACTTCTGATTATCTGTAAAATGTTCATTATTGCCTTTTTACTAATGGAACCCCAATTTTGATGTGAATGGAAACATACTTAGATAATAATCCTGATATCCTGCCTCCCTTGCAGATGGGACGAAGTGGGAACATGGAATAACACTAGTAAATGAGCGTAAGGAGAAGACATTGGACAGAGCTTCCTGAAAAGGCGGACTCAGCCGGCATGTACAAGTGCCCTGGACTTTCTCCTTCTTTCAGTCTGGAAGATGTGTAAAGTGGAGAATCTCTGGCAGTCTCTTGAAAGTATAAAAGCAAGACACATTAAGAGTGAAAAACAGCAAGCTAGAAATACCCTTGTTCCTTTGTAACATGATGAAGCAACTTCACCAGCCCTGCATATTACAAAGCTCCTTTATGTGAGGGGGAAAAAAACCTCAATCTTGTTAAAAACATTACAGTTTGGGTTTTTAAAATGTGAATCTGAGCCAATCTCTTACATATATTGAAGGTATTTGTTAAAAATTGAAATTCATGACTTTATCAGAGACTGGTTGAATAAGCCAGAATTGAGCCTGATAGTCCAGATCTTCAAAGGTGCTCTAGTGATTCTGGTATAGCTGATATTGATGGATCAAGGTCTGACTTGTGGGAACCACTGTCCTATACAACCTTTCCCTGCACTCCCCCACTTTTCTCACCAAAGCATGCTCCTAAATGCAAATGCTCTAATTTTCTCTACAAACACACTTTCGGTAGTATCAAAACTGTGTCAAGAAAACTACAGTCAGTCTCAGTAGGAACAAGAATAAATGGCTGAAAAACTGTTATGTATTTGATACTAGAAATGCCTGCTTTTGAAACACAGAATTTTAGGACCTGGCAGTGGCAAACACATACCTCTCCTTTGGATGGAAAAAAGTTATTACTTTCTTATAAACTCCCATTTTACCTAATAGAGACACTGAAGCTTGGCATCATACAACTAATAAATGGTGAAATCAGATCCAGATATTTGTCACTGTCACTCTGAAAATTCAGATCTTTGTCTCTCTTATTATGTAATGGTGTCTCTCCTCAGATTAAAATGAAAAGCTTGGTTGAGAGTCCTAGGATCCCTTCCAATTCTAATGCTTAATGAATCTACAGCTTCTTATATAAGAATTAGAGGATTGTAAGAACCATCTTGTGCATTTCAAAGACCCACTGATGTCTTGGGAGGGCTGCATATAGCACAAATGTGACCTTCTAAAACTGAGCAGCCTCCCTCCTCTTCCACAAGTGCCCAGTGATTGGTTTTTCTCCTTAATAAAATTAGGGCTTAGGTAATATTTTGGGCTCATTGATCCAAATCCTTCATTTCAAGTGAGGAAATTGAAGGCTGCTACACTGACCATGTCCCTACATAGCCAGGATCAGCAGAACTAAGCCTGGCATTTCCATTTCCAGTTCCAACTTTCATGTCTTTTCCCCTAGTCCAAGATGCTTTTTTAAAAATTATGAATTTGAAAGGTTCCCCTTACACTTTGCCAGCTGTTTGCAGATTCTTCTTCACTGAAAGACATAACCACCAACTCTACCCACTGTTAGGGCTTCTAAGAAGCTGCTTTGGCAGGGTTTGTGTAGAGGCTGCAGGCTCCTGGTGAACACTGTGCTTCTGTAGCACAGAAGTAAGCAGCAGTGTCTGCTGCCTGGGCAGCCGCGATGAACAAGGAACTACTTTTCATGGACGTGTCAAGAGTGAATCTTAATCTTCCACTATATTTCTCTCTTTCATTTGAGCGTATTAAAACTAGTTGGGTAAGGCCTCTACTTGAATCTTGTCTATACCACTGTAAACTGGTTATACTAGTTTTGTAACTGCAGTTCATGGTGGCATTTTCACCCTCCTGGATGCTCAAGGTCTGAGGTTCCTCTTCTCCTTGTTGACTGTTCACCCCTAGGAAGAAACACAGGAGAGGGTCCAGGAGTCAGTCATCGCATTTTCAAATTACATTTCCAAATTAATAAGAACATTTTACCCCTCAGTCCTGTCAGCTCTAAACTTTGGACTTGCCATTCCCATCACCAAAAACCCCAACTCACTGGCCAGTTGAAGCCATAGAATCACCAAAGACACTCCCAGGAGAAGCTCCATTCTTCTTCCTTATTGAAATCCCAGAAGACCTGAAATGGAGCCAGGCTCCTCAGTCAAAAGAAAGCTCTCTTTACTGGGTGTGTCTCAGGTTCCTGCCTAGCCAGTCAGAGGCAAGGTCAGTCCTTTGCTTTCAACACAGACAGGCTGATGTAAAGCCAAGTTAGTCTGAGGAGAGGGAGGCACTGCCATCTTGTGATGGCAACATCATCCTACTGCTAGAATGTGCTCTGGACCAGCCATGTGTGTTCAGAGCTCACTCAGAGGAAATTACAAAGCTATTCCAGTCTCTGCCTTTATTGAATTCTGGTTCTAACTTAGAATAGGAACAGATACAATTCAATTCAGGAACGAACACAACTACGAAACGAGGTCGGTGCCCAGTATTTGCAGACTACCTCTGAGAAGCACTGTTAGAGTCCCTGTGGTTACTATAACCTCGGATCATGTATCTAAGAGCTGCCTTCTAAAAATTTTTCCCTGGAATGAGATTTTATACAAGTCAGGATTTTTATTGGTAAGCAACAGAAATAGACTTGCCTGAAGTAAGTAGAAAAGGAATGAATTAATGAATACTGGATTTGCCTCAGAACCGAACTCAATAGTCAGCAGCAGTACAGAAAATCACTCCGGAGAACCACTCCTCTGAGTATCCCGCTGGCTCCTCTCCTGCGCTCCAGATACTGCATGTAGTTTCTTCGAAACTGTTCATGCAGGACAATGTATGCAGCTACAATTCCACTGCCATCCAACTCTGTAAACTCTCATCTCCATCTTGTTGCGATTACCACCACTCTCAAAAAGGAAACTCTTACTTTTTCCTTTTATTTTTTTCATAAGTCTATCCTGAGTGAAAGTTAGGGAATAATTCTTCTAATCCTTGGAGCCCAAGCCATGTGCCCACATCAGTCTGCTCAGTAGGCTGGTTATGAATGTACTGTGTTCGTTTACCGGGGCTCCCATAATAAAATATCACAGATTGTATGGCTTAAACAACAAACATTTATTTTCTCATGATTTTAGAGACTGCAAGTTCAAGGTCAAAGTGCTGGCATTTGGTTTCTTTTGAGGCCTTTCTCCATGACTCATAAATGGTTTTCTTCTTCTTGTGTCTTCACACAAGATTTAATTTTCAAAATTAAATCTTGACCCTTGAGAGTACCCCTTTTTAATATTCTGTGTGATGTTATAGGACATATAGGACATATGCGTAAAGCCCATCTGGGGTGCACTAACACAGTGGTGTCTCAGGAGAGGATAGCACTGGAGCACTACTTGAGTTGTGAGCTAAACTAGCTGTTTTTTCATGTAACTCTTTTTTTTTTTTTTTTCTTGAAAGCATGAGTGACAGAACAACAGATTTGGGTAGCTGGAAGATATGTTCTTGAAAATGATAAAGTGTGAACCTACAATTTTAAGGAAAACAACTAATAGTGATTGTTGCCAATGATAATATTTGAGCCTCCAAAGGAAAATTAGAATTTTGGAAAATTTGGATCCGCTACCCTGGGCTTGACACCTTGTCAGTTCTTAGTGGTTTTGCTGATAAGATTGGTGGTGATAGTAAAGAATGCAACTTTTGAAGCCACAGTACCCTATTTGTTTTGCAATTATTATAAATCCATAAGAAGCTGTCAAAATAGTTTATAGAGCCCTTTGTACTCTTCACATAGCTTCTTCCAGCGGTGGCATCTTATCTAACTGAAATGCAACATAAATACCAGGAAAGTGACATTGTTCAAATACCACTAACTGGGCTACAGATATTATTCCATTTTCACCATTTTCATGCTTTTCTCTGTGTGTGTCCACGCATACATGTGTGTGGTTCTTGGTTTTATCTCATAAAACCACCAACACAGATTTCTCTCATCCTAACCCTCTATCTGCACAAACACTCTCCCATCCCCAATCTCTGTCCTCTAGTAACCATCTCTTATAGTTCTGCTATTTTTGAGATCGTTTTATATATGGAATCAAACTGTATGTAACCTTTGGGAATTGACCCATACAGGTTGTTTCATGTATCAATAGTCTGTTTCTTTTGTTTCATATTATTCCATGGTATGAATTACTATAGTTTATTTAACCATTCACCCACTGAAAAATATTTAGGTTGATTCCAGTTTTTGTCAGTTATGAATAAGGCTACCATGAATGTTGTATAAGACTTCATGTGAATGTTACTGGGATAGATGTTCAATGCACAATGGTGTGGTCATATGATAAGTGCATGTTTCATTTTATAAAATACTGCCAAATTACTTTCCAGAATGGCTATACTATTTTACAATCCCACCAGCAATGTATAAAAGTTTCCATTTCTCTACATACTCACCAACATTTAGTATTATTACTGTTTTGTATTTTAGCTGTTCTAATATGTTTATAGTGATACCTCACTATGATTTTCATTTTCATTTTGCTAATGAAGAATGATATTGAACATTTTTTATTTGCTTATTTTTCACCCATATTTCTACTTTGGTGAACTATCTGTTCTATTTCTAATTGGATTATTTATTTGTTTGATTTTTACATTGAGATTTGAGTGCTCTTTATTCTAGATATAAGACCTCTATCTAACGTGTAAGTTACAAACATTTTTCTCTCTGTCTATAGGTTGCCTTTTATTCTATTAACAAGGTCTTTTCACAATACCAAAGGTTTTATTTTATTGAAGGCCAATTTATCAATTTTTTCTTTCATAGAAAAAAATTTTTTAAGAAAAAATTAATAAATTGTCCTTCAATAAAAGAACTTTTGGGTTCATGTCTAAGAACTCTGGTTCTCAAATATTTTCTCCATTTTTAACTTTTATATTTTACATTAGAAATATCTCAAATAAGTAAGTTATGGAGCGATATTTACAGGGTTTTGTTTGTTCTCAAGCAGTTTAATGTAGGCATTTCAAAGCTGAGAACCAGTTTGGAGTGAGCAAAGTTCATGATATATGAGTTTAGGATTGGCAGAAGGATATACCAAAAGTCTTGAGGTGAGTTTTACCGATAATACTATTGTCTTCATAAGGAAGCTATTTTTCCAACTAAGCAAACTCTTTTAGGCATCCGTTTGCCCAGATGAACATACTGTTTGCTTATATTAATTGGTTTGACATGGTTCCCTGAAGAAACCAGTGAAATCACATTAGTGGAGGTCGACTCACACGTTCATACAGAGGATTGCCAATTTTTATATGTGTCTAAACGAATTTATTTAGCATTCCTTTACGGTGTACATATTGTGTGCTCCATACTGTGTTAGAAGGTTAGGTAAAAGCCAGAGATAACATAATGGCTCTTCTCTGGAACATTGTGCTCAGTAGGAAGAGGAGATAAGATAAAGTGTTAATATACTGTGATGGTTACCAGAACATATTGTAGGGTTGTCGGGGAGGGGGCGAGCAGCTCCAGAAGTCATGACATGCTCAAAATATAAGAGACTCCTGAGCTGGATGTCGAAGATCAATACCTTTGAAGATAAACCCCACAAAACTTCAGGACTTGGCACTTCAGTGAAGTTTCTAGAGGTTCAACAGCCCAGAGAACATTGAGACATCTCTTCCAAGGTGGAAGACATGTTGCTGCACCCCACACCACCTACCACAGAAAAAGAGGCACCTAATTGACTGGCTATTTTGAATTTGGAGGCCATCAATACCACATGGGGGTGTGCTATTTTGGCATATTTACAGAGTCATCTGTAAAGCTGCCAGTGTTCAGTGGACACCAGAGCAACAGGAGGCTCTACAATTTCAGTTTCAGCACAATCCATTTCACCACATTGGTCTTATGATTCAGCAAATCCAACAATGATATTCAAAGTTTCCATGGAAAGTAAGAATGCTCTGTGGAGACTCTGGGAAACACCAATAGGAGAATCACAGCATAGTCCTCTAGTAGTTGGGAGGCATAGTTTCCCTTTTCTTTAGATAACTATTCTCCTTTAAAAAACAGCTTCTGGCTTGATAGTTTACCTTGATGAAGTCTGAATTTCTCATTTAGGAAAAATAGATGACCAAGAACCAAGTGTTGTCTGACCTAATCAGCTGTAATGTTGGGCATGCCCAGAAGCAACTGATCATCAAGTGGAAATTGTACATAAGAGACCACATTGAGGCAGATCCATAAGGTGCAAGTTAGCTCCGTGAGTAGGTGGCTCAGATTCCTTTGACATCAACTTCTCTTATTGCCTCTTTTTCTGTAATCCATGCTGTATCCTCCTGGGGAGGTCCTTACTCCTTCTAGTGGTACATTTTGGTTGTCCAAATTACCTGGTGAAAGATGGCCAGAGGTGCTGACCTACACTGATTCATGGGGAGTTGCTGATGGTTTAGTGGATGACAAGAGACCTAGAAGGAATAGGCTTAAAAGATGGATGACAAGGGAATTTAGGTAAGAGGTATCTTAATGGACCTCTCAGAATGAACAAAGACTCTCAAGATAATTTTGCTCAATGTGAATACTGACCAAGGGAAAACAAATGCAGTAGAAACTATTATAATGACACAATGATGCCCTTCATGGATGTATCAGCATTCTCCCCAGCCATGCCAGTGCTTGCTCAATGGTCACATGAAAAAAATGGCCCTGCTGGCAGGGACGGATGTTATGCTTGAGCTCAAAAGCATGGATTTCTCCTTATTAAGGCTAACTTAGCTAATGCTGCAGCTGAGTGCCTAATCTGTAAACCGCAGAGACTAATACTGAGCTCCTTGCATGATGTCATGCCCCAGGGAACCACCCAGACACCTGTTGATTGCTCTTCTATCATAGAGATGACTGAGATATGTCCTCACTGAAATAGACACCTACACTTGCATATTAATTTGTCTTCCTTGTATGTTATGCTTCTGCTGACCCCTTCTTCATCAACTTACAGAACGCCTAATTCACCGTCAGAATAATCCTCACAGTATTTATTCTGATGGAGGAACTAATTTTACTGCAAAATTGTACATGCTTATGGAATCATATAGTCTTATCACTTATCTTACAATGCACAAGTGGCTGGCCTGTTGAAATGTGGAATGGCTTATTGATTGAGCTGTGGCACTAGTTTGAAGACACCCTGAAAAGATAGTGTTCTATCTTACAAGATGCAGTATCTGGTTTACATCAAAAACCATTATATGGTGTTGTCCCCCTCATAGCCGGAATGCATGGGTTCAGACACCAAGGAAGCGGTCCTGAGAAGGGATTCTCTCACTCCTGTTACCAGTAGCCCTTTGGCAGAATTTTTGCCTCCATCTTTGTGACTTTGAGCTGTATTCGTTCCAAGGTCTTATTCTCTAAAGGGAAGAATATGTCTACCAGGAGACCAAACAAAATGGTTCAATTGCATTGAAAGATGGCACTGCTATGTGGCCATTTTGTCCTATGTATGCCTCTGAACAAACAAGTAAGAAAAGAGTTATTGATACCAAGTTTGATACCAAACTGGCTGGAGTCATTGATACCAATTTCTAAGGAGAATTGAGATGTTGCTATACAACAGGTATAGAGAGAGCTACATCTGAATCCCAGGGCATATTTTAAGTAGTGCCTATTGGCACTTTAATGCCCAGTGGTAAAAGTTAAGGGATCCCTATAGCAACAAATTGAAAGGCAGGACTGTTGAGAACTCAGACTCTTTGAGAATGGAGATTTTCGTCATTCCATCAGGCAAATAACCCCAATCCACTGATGATGTGGCTGAGGGCAGAAGAATATAAAACAGGTAACAAGAGAAGGAAACTGTCTATATCAACTGAAGCTCAGGATCAAGTCTGGAATCAAGGAATGTAGTAGCTTTCTGTATTTTCTTTTTGCTCATTATATGTAGGTGTTGCTTTGTATATGCTGCCATTTTCTTCTCTCTCTTTCTTATCATAATTCTTTTATATGTAAATTATTGGAGATTAACTTTATAATTTAGTCTGTACATAACAGCATATTCAGTTGAACTTCCTCTGAATTTGAGATATGGCTAATATAGTCAGAGATTCATACAGCGGTTGTTGGGACTATGGTTCGTCTTATTTGGGAGAAATAATGAAAACTTCACTTGTTCAAGGACAGCTTTAGCTTGTTAGGTAGAAACATAATGTCAATTCACCGTTGTCTGGAAGTTCAAATGTGCATGTAGGAATGCATAGGGGCCAGGTGCAGCGACTCATGCCTGTAATCCCAGCACTTTGGGAGGCTGAGGAGGGTGAATCACCTGAGGTCAGGAGTTTGGGGCCAGCCTGGCCAACATGATGAAACCGTGTCTCTACTAAAAATACAAAAGTTATCTGGGCATGGTGGCAGACACCTGTAGTCCTAGCTACCTGGGAGGCTGAGGCAGATGAATCACTTGAACCCAGGAGGTGGAGATTGCAGTGTGGATCTGGAACCTCTAAATATTTGATATTAAGCTTTGTCAGTAGAGAGGGCTGGAAGGGCCCTGCAGAAGGATGACGCTTCTCTACCTGTTTCTGGTAAGTTTTCCACACTTCTTGTCCTACATGCTTGGTAGGGACACACAGCGACCCTCCACTCCCGTAAGGTTCATGGCAGCCTGACAGGTGGTTTCTTGGCAAATTTCACAACCACCACAAGCAGGTTCAGCAGCACTCTTCTGTAGGCTTCTTATGAATTGTGTTGGAATCCTGGTAGGTATTTTTCTACTTGTCAGTATTTTTCTCTGGCACCTCAGCAAACTTCTCCACCATCCAGCAAGCTGCAGCTGCCCACTCCCAGTGAGATCTGAATCATGCCTTGGCAGGAGGGGTAAGGTCATGCTTATTCCAATGTGTTTCTTTCCTGGGATTCTACCTTAGTCCTAGAGACGGGAACTTCTGCTTACATGTGTGTTCCTATATTCTTTTTACCCATTAGCAGTTATTACTTATTATTATTTAATAAATCTTTATATTAAACTTCATTGTTGAAATTGCTGGGTGTCATTTTTCCTGGCTGGACTCTAAGTGAGTTACTCCTATCTCAGTCTATGAAACGCAAGGGAAGAAAGGTAATAGATACAGGAAGATGAACAATCAGAATCTGTGAAACAGCAGAGCATTTTAAGGAATTATGCTCAGGTGTGTGGTGACAACCACATGCAGGGATCATGCGGGGAAGCAGAGGAGCTGGAGAGGTAGGACTGTGCCATAGAATCCTGGATGGGACCTCTGGACCAAGAAAATGATACTTTCTATGCCGTGCGAGATAGTTTTTATTTCAAAAGTATGTTTCCAATACTACTAGACAAAATAAATGCATTTACTATTCTGAAAATTAATTTAAGCAGGGTACATAATGAGAATTTTTTGGACAAAATTATTAGGTAATTCTATAGCTGACAGCTGATAATATAATATCCAGGGAACAAAATTAATGTTAATATCTGGAGAAAGAACGCCCCACTGTGGCCATACAGAGCGTTTACAAAGAAATAGCTCCTGTAACTAAAGGGTTTGTGTTCTGCTTCCTTGCAAAACCAGCTACTGTGTCACTTAGAGCACAGTAATACGTGGCTGAGTCTTCCTCTTGAGCGAATGGTTTCTCCAGATGGAAGGATGTCTCGCCTTTGTTAAGGTCAGCAGTGAAGCCTTTGACGCTCTCTCTAGAGATGTGTTTCAGGAGTAACTGCAGGCGTTGTTTGGGATAGTGGACATACCAGAAGAGGTCAGGATTCCCAGAATATGAGTAGTTGCACTTCAGCTGCACTGGGGCGCCTTCAAAGACAGAGAGGGTCTTCTCGGGCTGAGTCACTCTCTGGGCTGTTGTTCCTCCTATAATAACAATTGCGAATCAGGAAGAGCCTTACAGACTGGGGATAATATTCATTAACATTATTCTAAATCAGAAGACTGTAGAAAAATAGATTAAAGAGAGGCTTTACTCACTGAGTGTAAATGTTATCACAAGCACTGAGATGAGGGTGGGCTTCATATCTGAGCGGTGGAGAAACTGGAATATATTTTTCTGGAGGTCTTTTCCGGAAACAATTCAGCCAAATGGACACTCTGACAGAGAGGTGGATGAGTTTACCCAGCGTGCAGAGCAAAAAGCTCTTCTTCAAAAAGATCTGATTGTTTTGGGCTATCAAATTCAATTTGTGTAACATCTCCCTCTAGAGGCCAAATACAATACTGCAGCTAACTCAGGCTTCAGGAAACCTTCAAATACAGAGACTGAGAATTTCCTCCTCAGTAAGAAAAAGTGTGATGCTGTACTAATTGAAATAGAAGGCTATTTTTTAAATCCACAATACGGATTAATGAAGTATAAAGTCAAAATATACAAATACATATGGAAATTTGGTTTAAATTGGGGAAAATGTGTAATTCTAACAATCATTTGGAAGTTGGCAGATAAGTTAAGATGCCTCCCTTAATACCTGTTATAAAATAAAGTTTAAAGGACAAAATGTTTAATACTTTAAGTAAAATAAAAAAACTTGTAAAACAAATTTAGAATGGTCATGGATTTTCTAATCATGAAAGTCAAAAACCATAAGAGAAAATACTGATAGATTACATTCCATAGAAATTTAACCTTCTATTCAGATGTTTTAATGAAATGTTTAAACATTGCCAAATCAAGTTATTCTTTTCTTTTTTTTTATTTATTGCATTTTAGGTTTGGAGGTGCATGTGAAGAACATGCAAGGCTGTTGCATAGGTACACACATGGCAACGTGATTTGGGGCCTTCCTCCCCTTCACCTATATCTGGCATTTCTCCTCATACTATCTCTCTCCAACTCCCCACCCCCACTGTCCCTCCCTTAATCCCCCAACTGACCCCAGTGTGTGATGTTCCCCTCCCTGTGTCCATGTGTTCTCTTTGTTCAACACCCGCCTATGAGTGAGAACATGTAGTGTTTGATTTTCTGTTCTTGTGTCAGTTTGCTGAGAATAATGGTTTCCAGATCAAGTTATTTTATTTTCCATCCACCATCGATTCTGACCTTACTCCTCACACATGAAGTGGCCCTTTAGGATTGTAGTTCTATACGCTTTAAAAAAAAATGTAAGTAAGAAAGAAAGAAAAGAAAGGCCATAAAAAGGGAGGAACAATCATTTGGCTTAGAAAGAGGAAAATTCGAGAAAAAATGATAGATTGAAAATGTCCCCAATCCCTCGTCCTTAACCAAAGAGTTTCTCTGGCTACTAGTCAAGCTATGCTGAGAGAGCTCAAGTCAGGTGTCCCATTTTGGGGTCAGATATAAATCTGGGGTCAAGTAGCCAGAAACTCCAGGATTAAAAGCAGAAAACCATGGGTCATGGAGATAGCTTGTCCTGCAGATATCTTTTCTTCTAAAAAGAAAACTAATTATCTTGAGAAAGTCTCTTCTCTGGCTTCCAAATAGCTCAGAAGAAAGTAAGAGATATGCGTTACTTAAATGAGGTGGAATACAATGAGATCAGAGAACAACGAGATTTTCCTCCAGTTTTCCTGCAGTGTGCTGGCATAGTAGCTGATGTCAGTACTCTGCTGAGCTCTGCGTTGCTGACTGGAGACACAGAAGTGTCTAGGTTTTTTATGCTCTTAGCATTGTCTCCACTTAAAGTACCCAGTAATCAGACATGTCAGGAGGGGAGTGAAGAAAGGGAAAAGATACCTCAGAGACAAATGGGGGCCTCATCTGGATCAAGTATAGCCTGAAAAAATTATCAGGGTCAATGGCCCAATTACCTTAGCTAAAAAATCAGGACATGTGATTTGAAAGTGATTATAATTTCATTTATAAGAAAGCCTCACAAAGAAAGAATATCTCTTCCAATGCATTATTTACTTAATTATCTTTAAAGGAGTAAATACAATACAATTAAATTAAGAGAATTCTGTTAACATAGGACATATGGTCATGATGAACATATACAATGTCTCCGACAAGACTTAGGTTGGTAGAGAAACAGCACATGTGTATGATGCCACCCCAGCTTATTTCCATCTCTCTTCTCTTATCCAGCACTTTCTCCATTCACTTTACAGCCCAACCTGCCAATCCTGCTCTGTGAACAAGAGGTAGAGGTCACATTTTTTATTGTGGTAAAAAACACATAACATTAAATTTACCATCTTAACTATTTTAAAGTGTGAATTCAGTAGTGGTAATTATCTTCACACTGTCGTGCATCAGATCTCTAGAACTTTTCAATCTTGCAACATGGAAACTATATGAGGCATAGGCCACATTTTGAAATTAATTAAATGTATCATCTTTCTTTTCTCCTTATCTCTTATTTCTTTTTCTCTCTATTATCCTCTTTCTGAATATTTTCATAATTTTTTTCTTATTTCTTCTCATTTCCTTTTTCTTGCTTCTCTCATTTCAGAAGAGGTATAAAAGGAGGTGAAAATTATTGAAATAATTTCAAAGTCAGAATAGAAACTCATATTTTAGAAGTTTGAGTCATAAAAATTAAAGCTGCAAAGCTTCCAGCCTTATCATTTCCCTTGCTAATTTCTATGATCAATCTTCTTGGGAGACCATCTCTGTGACACCCATCACAGCCACAGAACATCTTCGCAGATGAGTAAATGGAGACTCCCCCTGTCCATTTCATATATGACTAGCGCAGATGCTTTGCTAACTGATGCTCTCGATTTTTCACTGAGTCAACTATCTCAGAAATTGAGGGAAAAGTTCCTCATTTAGAGTAGAGCCTAGAGAGCCTCCTAATGGTCTGAAACCATCAGGCCAACTAGCTCATCTGTGGAGTCCCAGAGCCTTCATCCCAATTCTCTCCTGAAGACCCGCCCACAGATTGTCAAGAGCAAAAAACTGTCAGGCTTATGGTGATTTTTTTTAAAAGAAAAGTAAACTTCTTTTTTCCTCCAAATTCCATATACTAGAGATTACCATCTTAAAATACTTTTGTCAAACTACATATTCAAGTTTTAATGTGATTTTTCCAATTTACGTCAGAATAAGTCCTTAGTAATGTATTGAAGTCGACTATAAGCAATATCTAGTGCTAGGTCCTAAGAAATTAAAAAATTAGTAAGGCATTTTCTCTATTCACAAGACATTGAGGTTTAGTGGGAAAGACAAATGTGTATATGTGTGTGTTTTTATATATATCAAGTAGCACCTCAAAAGGTGCAAAATGAACTCAGAAATAAGGAGACATTTCTTACAACAAAGGATGGTTAGATAAAGATTTGAGGAGAATATGATCATAGTTGTCTGTTCCTAGAAAAGATAAAACAGAATGAAATTGAGAGCCTAAATAAGATTGGGAGTTGAATAGAGACCCTTACAAAATGAAAATAAAAGAAGAGTAAATGGACAAAGATGTAGAAAGAAGTTGGAGCCTATTTTTATTATTAATTTTTAAATATTGTGGAACATACAGATGAATACATACTCTCTCTCTCTCTCTCTCTCTCTCTCTCTATATATATATATATATATATATATATATATATATATAGTTTAAATTTCTATCTGACTATAACTTTCAAGCACACAGCAGTTTGCAATGTGTTTGGTCCCCAATTATGTGTCCTGATGACCTATTGATATTAACATATTTTCTTCTAAATATTCCATTTTATAGATTTATCACAGTTTCTGTAGCCATTCTCTGAGAAACACCTTGTATTTCAATTTTCGCTATTACAGAAAGAATCTTCAGTAAATACTTGCTTGTCTACTTCGTAGAATAAAGTGTAGAAATAAGCCATGTGGTTACCTGGAATACTAGTACACAAGGCAGAGAAATGGGCAGCTGCAAAGACCTGAGGCAGGAAGATAATTGGTATGTTAGAGCTATAGTAAATGCAGTGAGGCTGGAAAGAGGGAATAAGCAAGAGGGTGGTAGCTGATGCCAAATATCAAAGACATGGCAGGAAGCTAAATTGATTTGTATATTATAGTAAAAAATTTGGTTTTCATTTGCATGAGATGGTAAGACATTGTATAGTTGTGAGCACAGAAATGAAATTATCTGAGTTATGTTTTAAAGACATTACTTCTCCTGCTGCACGGAGAACAGACAGAAGAACCACGGTGAAAGAAGGAAGATTAGTTAGGTTTATCTCAATCAACCAGACAAGAGATGACTGTGGCTTGGATCAGGGTGGTAGCAGTAAAGGTAATGAGAACTGGTTGATTATGGGCATATTGTGAAGAAATGGCTGATAGGAATTCCTAATGGATCAAGAGGAGGTATGAGAAAAGTGATAAGGATGATTTCAAAGCTTTTGGCTATAGGGATTAGAAGATTTGGTAAATGGAGTAATATTTTACCAAAATGAAGAAGCAGTCACAAGAAGGAAGTGTGAAATAAAGAAGGCTTGGTGAGTATATAGGTCTAAATCAGTAGACTATTTTCAGATATATTAAGTGGAGGATGTCAAAAAGAAGATTTCAAACAGATTATTTGATACTTGAGTCCAGAAACCAAAGGAGTTATTTGGGATTCAGTTATAAATTTGGGTATTTAAATGGGATTTAAAGCAAGAGACTGAATAAAACCAGCTCTGAATAAAGTATTTATAGAGGAAAAAGAGTTCCACGTATAAATTTCTGAGGCATGACAATGTTTAAAGATTAGATAAATGAGGAATGAAAACAGCAAAAAAGACTGAGAAGGAACAACTGATAATACTGGAGGAGAATGAAAAAAAGATTGGGGTTTCTAAAAAGCAATAAAGAAAGTATTTCAGGAAGGGAGTGTTTACAATGTCAAATGTCCCCATGACAAGTAAGATAAGTTAAAAAATACCAGTTGTCCCAATAAATGCATGTATATATAAATTTAAAAGGCTAAATTTTTCTATTAAGATATAGAAATGATCTGAATGATTTACATATCCAACCTTCTACTGTTTAAGAGGCACAGCTAAAAGAAAAGTCAAGGAAAGTTTAAATTATATTATTGGGCTCTCATTGCAGGGCTGCCTGCTGACACTCAGGCACCACCATGCCCACAGTGAACATCACATTCAGCTAGATGCCCAAAAGGAGGTCAGTTCTGGTGAAGAGCAAACAAGGAAGCCCACAAGGAGAACAGTAAGAATTCTGTCTCTGAAAGGAGTGATATCAGCAAGATGGCAAAGCAGGAATCCCTTAACCCTCTTCTCCCCAATAGACACACCAATTCAATAGCAATAAATAAATCAATTCACCTGTGAAAAACCCAGTAACTAGCTGAGAGTCTC